TGTAACTGGAAATAGATAAAGGGAAACTTTTTTTTTCACTGCTTTGCCAACTATGATTATAATCAGTAAAATTTGTTTTTGTTATTTTGATAGATATCTCATTTTAATTGTCCTTTTTTGACACCTAGCAAGGTTGAGGTTTTTTTTTAAATAATGCCAAATAAATAAATATATATATATATTTTTAAAATGTATCTTTTCATGCCTTTTGTCCTATTAAGGTACTTACGTTTTCATCTCATGTGTACGAGCTCTTCGTGGAGTAAAGACTTGAGCCCTTTTTGGTACATACACTCCCTCAGAGTTATCACTCCCTCAGAGTTATCGTAAAGGAGAAAAGTAGGAAATGATTACTAAGTTTGTGCCCTGAAGTCCCTGAAGTGAAACAGAGACTTATGGCACCTTCTCATTTCCAGGACCCACCCAGCCTGAGGTCTGGCACACAGCAGCTTTTATAGGCATGACACAATGGAGGAACACTAGTTGTCAATCAGTGCATTGGACTCTGGGGGTCCAGAGACAGAGACTAACAGTGGTGATCATGGTTTCTTAAACTAAGCCTGGGCCAAGAAATGACTTCCTAATCAACCAAACTTTTTTATTTAATTTTTTTCATGGCGAGAAAGAGAAAATGTTATAGCCAGAGGACAAAAGGATACAAGTGATTGAGAGCATCTGAGACAGCCTGAAAAAAGGGTGAAATGAAGGGATGTTGAAAAGGTTATTGGGTGGAAAGAAATAAACAAAAGTACTCTGAGATCAACAAAACAATAAGTACTTATTCTGTATTCATGGTGCGTGAGGTATGTTGTTGACCACGGTGGGTGATTGAAAAAAATCTGTAGCCTCACCATATTCAGACACTTACTGAAATGGTATATTCCTGTAGAATTTTTGGTTATACACACATACAGTTATGTACATATATAACACTGAAAGGGACAGGAGAAAGCATCTCCCAAACTAGGGAAGTCTAAAGGATTCTGGGGCCTGCCTTGTCTGCCCTTATAATGATTAGTTCTTTTTGGTTACAGCATTTAGGGGAAAAGCAGAGAAGAGGGCACTGTGGCCATATCAGCTGCATGTGGATTTAATATCTTTCCTCTTTAGTATCTGCCTCTCAGTTGTGGTGAGAAGCAGGCAGGACCCCATATCAAGGAGAGAAAAATAAGAGAACAGGAGGGAACAATCTTCCTGTGTAGCTGATGCCTACTTTGTGGTACTATTTTGATAGGTCATACGGGAAAAATTTTTATCACATATTTTATAGAATAATTTGCATCAGGTGAAGTTTGTAGGCCCTCAGGAGTGCCTATGAAACATGATCCCTGATTTCAAGGGTAGACATGGCAAAAACAAGAGAAAGGTAAAATATTTACAAAACTGGGTGTCCCCTGAGGAAGAACTTTATGTTCGGTAACAGTTGGTAACTTCCAAGTTGCTTCTGATCAAGATGGTGATGTCATGTTACCTTGGAGGAGAGCTGGGAGCTGGAAGGAATCACTTGAAGGACACCTTTAGTCAGATCAATAAAGGTAGCTGGGTACCTAATATTTGGGGGCAGACCACTAATCTCCTTGACCAAGGAGCCATTCATTCTCTTTATGGTGACTTTTAAACAATTTGGTACGTACTGTTTATTGAACACCTATTGTGTCCCAGGTACTTTGCCCAGAACATTATCTTTATTATCACTTACTGATGCCTCCAGGCCCAGTTCATTGCTACATCTTTTGACCCACACCCCATGACACATAACCCCAAACTGAACTACTAATTCCATCATTAATTTTTAATTGATAATACTCCAGTCATTCTGTTCACTCCTTTAATGCAGCCATTCTCATCCTATAGTCTACATTGCTGGCTGTCCCACTACGGATTAGGCTCAGTAAGAGCAGCACCCATATTTCACTCCAGTTTCTCAGCATTTGGTAGTTCCTAAGTGTTCTGTTGAGTGAATATTGATTGGAAATCCAAGACTTCAAACTAATTGAAGAATCATGAAATTATTGAGCAAGAGTGGACTTAGAACTTCTGATCCTATGTCCTTTTACATATGAAAAGAGTAAGCTGGAAAGAGTAACTTGCCTGAGGTCATGTGAACCTGATAGAATAAGCTTAGAATCCAGTTCCCTTGCTTTTCAATACAATATTGTTTCTTCTATCATGGAAAATGCCTCTGAAACACAACTAAGTATCTTTATCTTCCAATCTCATAGCCCCACCCAAATCCTATCAGCAATTGGTCTTTGAGCCTTCAGTCTACTTCTGTGATAGTAAATTTCCTAAAAGAATCTTTTTTTGTATATAGCTTTCCTCTCACAACTTCCCATTCCAAACAAAGCAAAGTCCAAACTCCAAATTGGCTGGCCTTTGCTGTAGCATCACGGTGTAAAAGTTGGGGAAGCCTTCTGTCTGTATTTTCACTAACAAGCTCTTTCCACAAGGACCCTTTGATCCAGCCAAATCAAAATGCTTGTCAACAGAAACACCAGGCTCTTTCTTCAACATTTGAGACTTCCTATTCGTTCTGACTAGACTAGCCCTCCTCCTTATCAACCTGGTGGACTTTAATGATCTGTTCCTCTTCTGGATTGGTTGCATCTAGTACAGAATAGAGAGATCTGGCTTTAGTAACACAGTAATTGAATGAGTGAATTTTGAGTGTCCAGCACCTAGAGCATAACTCTTCAAAAGGGCTGAATGACTGTGTCTTTGGAAAATTACAGAAACGTTAACTTACTTTTCAGAATTGTAAGCAACCTTTTACCAAAAGTTTTCTGTTTGGAAGAAAGATAAGTAAATGTTGGCTCCCTCAGCCTTTTTTTCCTTCTTTTAATTCTAGTTCATCTGTTATGATGCTGCCATTCTCAGTCCATGAACTCTACATTCTCCCAGCACCCCTGCCCCTGACACTTGTGGGAGAGGAATCCACAAATTCCTTTGGGGCTCCATCACTGGAGCAAGTTCTCAGTAGCTGGACAAGGTCCGGGCTGCAAACAGGAAGTTTTTGTACTTCTGGCTACTTTATGCCTGGGGCAAAACTGCAGAATCCACCTGGAGACTGCTAGTGAGAATGACCAAACGAAACTAACCTTCACTGTCCCCATCTGAAAGCTTTCCTGTATGGAGATTCTGACCCGGTATCACTCAGGGCTTCTCTTTCCAGAACTGGCGTCTAGCATGTATGTCAGAACAGCCACGTAGCAAAGCATCAGGTTTGAATCCTCCTTACTCCCCTCTTCACTCTAAAAAAGCTTGAGCGGAACATTTAAAAAATTGTTTTGGATTTTGAAGTTTTTCGAAGCATCCAAAGGACTGTCCCCTTTAGTGAGCTGAAGGCCAAAGAGAAGTAGATGCTGGTCACCTAGAATCGAAATACTTCTTTCCTCAATACCCAAGACCCCGATCTTGCCACCCTGAGCTCACACGAGGGGCAAGAGGCAGCCTTCCTTCTCTGCTGCCGGGCCTTATTAATGACACCCACTAGTCTCCAGTTTTCCAGGGCAAACTCCCAACCACGCGACCCGGGCCCTTGCCCAGGAGTGAGGGCCCCGGTCCACGCCGGCCCCTGTGCCGGCAGCAGGGATGCGGCCAGCCCCAGGGATGACCCTGGCCCCAGCCTGCGGGGCGGGTAGCCCAATGGGCAGCCTCGCTCCGGAGGCGGGCTCAGGCCGGAAGCCACCCCGCGGCAC